ACTTATCACCTCCGACTCCGACTCCGACTCCAGGTATGGCTGTCGAGTGTCGACTCTGACCGACTCTAACCCCGACTCCATGTTCGCAGCCCTGGCATTTGCGCGGAGTCGCGGGATTTTCGGTGACTCGAACTCCGGCTCCGGCTTCCACAATCGACTCCGACTTTGACTCCGACCTCGGCTAGAGATATCGACTCCGACTGACTCCGACTCCGACTCCGCAGCCCAGGTTTCAAGGCTTGCAGGGTCGTTTATTTTCCTAAAATGCACAAATATTTCTATACAAATGACAAAACTAACAGTTTTCTGAATGTTCTGAACCAGCAACTACTCTATAATATCTTTCAAAACTATGAAAACAAACTTGAAACCCATAGATCAAGAGCCAGCAGAGTTTGTGGTTACGGTTCATGCACAGCAAGACCCTTCCAAATCTAATTCAGCAACCAAACGAGACAGATCTCCAAAATGGACTTCAACCGGATCGTGCAGTGCTGCTTGCGCCGAGGCACACGCTGCAGCAGTCAACACGCATACCCTGGTCAATATAGGTCTTACTTTTAGCCGTGATGCTTCTCTCCATGTAAGTACGTCTCCGAGCAGAGCGCCACTCGCCACTTGCCACAGATGACTTTAGTGCCAACCACGTACTTTGCAGACGCTTTGCCTTCGTGGTAGGGCCAGCTCTAATCCAGTGTCCGAATCCGTCGCGGTGTAGGTATGCATCCCATTCTCAGGTGTACGTACCACTGACCAAGCAGCAGGTCTGCAGGAACTCGTCTGTCAATACCATCCGCATCAATATTTCCTCCGTAGGTGTATTACCGCACAAACTGCACTGGGATATGACGCCGTTACCCATTTCTTCCTGAACAACAGCAACAGCCTTCCTAAACAACAGGACGATCTCAAAACCGTGCCCCTTCCCCTCCCCCAAGCAAAATTCATTTGGGGCCTTAACCACATGGTTGCTCCACAGGGGTACCCGCAATAATACCAGCGATTATAGGGCAAAGCATCCTATCCAACATCCATGCGTCACGTTAGCAGTGAATGACCAATCAGCAATGAATGTTCCAGCTTCTTTGGTGGCGACGAAGGCGCTCCCCTCTCCGACCTCTTGCCGCAAAGGGCGCATCACCCCTGAGAAACGTTACACAAACGACCTTCAACCTACATAGGCACCCCTTTTTCGCATGAAGACGCCCCATAACTTTCATAGGCGCCCCTCTTTCGCATGTAGGCGCCCCTATGGGCATCAAAAGCGACTCTGTAGACCTTACAGGCGCCCCTCGTTCCCAGTGAGGCGCCCACAGGCGCCTATGGGCTTCACAGGCGCTCCTTCCTCTTTCCATAGGCCTCAGAGGCGTGGCCATCTTTGGGATGCAGGGACCGATCTTTCGTATGGAAGCTCCATTATGGCGTTCAAGGGCGCCCCTTTTGCATGTGGGCGCCTCTACTATGGGCGTCATGGGCCTCAGAGGCATTCCTATAGGCTTCACAGGTGCCCCTCTTTCGCATGCAGGTGCCCTTATGGGCATCCGCATTTGCATTGAGGCGCCCCTAAAAACTTCATAGGTGCCCTTCTTTCGCATATAGGCGCCCTTATGGCCTCAAAGGCGCCCCTCTTACGCACCCAATTCCCTCGGGCGATGGCGTCCCCTTGAGGGATGGCGCCCCAAATAACAATTTGTCCGCATCACTCCGTTGAGCGTTGTTTCCCCTCTGCAAAGACCACACACGCATGTAATTGCGAAAAAAACGCTTAGCCTACCGCCCAGTGGTACCAAAAGGTACCAACAAAAATTCTGCCCCTAGGAACGCCAGGATTCATGACGAAACATCTGATTTTCTGCTTAACTGCAGCTGCGAGTTCTTCATCTTTATTGTAAACACACTTTGGTTAAAAAAATATTTACAGACAAGCAACCACAAACGTTTTTATCTCCCAACGTCAGCCCATGACTGCGGCGCCTCGAAACACTCCGAGCTTTTCTGCACCTCACACGAAGCTCTTCGTATCAGCACGTTATTTATACCCAACAGCATATCCGGAAAGGAGGTCATTATCCGATGACAAAATCTATCCGGCGAAAGAACGTGTGGTCTCAACGCAGCAAACCAAAATGTGCGTTGGTACCTTTTGGTACCGCTGGGCGTTAATGGGTTAAGTAGGACAGAGGTCAGGTCAAGGTCAGGTCAAGGGTACCTACAAAATGCAAGTTTCTACAGTATCGGCCTTGCACCGTAGTTGCCGAAGAATGGACTGAGACTGATTGCCCAAAACGTGTTCTTAGGCTACCAAGACAATATTCGTTGCATACAATGTCATTCAAAGGTCAAGGTCAAGGTCAGGTCAGGTCAGGTCAGTTCACCAAAAACAAAATATAGAAAAGGGCATGTGGGACACATGTTTTATGGGTCATTTTAACCGAAGGTTTGTTGTCAATAGTTAAAACACTATTCTTTAGACTTGTGTTTTTCTGTTGAAAAACAAATCTGAGTTCCCTGACAATTTGGCAAAAGCTGCCTGAGATCATATTCATAGAATTCAATCGGCACACTCCATAAGCAATAAGTGATATGGACCACCTCTGGATGAATTTCAGGTCGAGGTCAGGTCAAGGTCAGGTCAAGTGAGGTCAATTTTTTAAGTTGGTTTTTAAGGCCTAAAAAGGTGTCTATCTGGTGCATTTTTACACGGCGAATCGAATAGTGCTATTTTTGTTTCCGTACGAGGTCTACAACTTTCAACAAATTCATTTGTTTCAAAATTTTTGCGTGTCAAGACGTTATGAAATTTTTAATAACTCCCACATTTTTGAACCGATTCTTCTAAAAATTGGTATGTAGGTGCACATAAACCACATCTCTGACATATATTCCGTTTTTTTTTTTCGAAACACTCAAAATTTTGGATTTTATAATTGTTTTCCCAAAAAAGTCAGTTTTTTGAAGAAAAAAATGGCCAAAATCCAACATTTTCAAAAAACTGAGATAGCCATTTGATAGACAAAGTAGAATTACGTATAGCCTTTTTATTACGTCTTGATTCCTTTAAAATTGAAGATGTTATCGGCGTTTGAAATTTTGCCGTTTTTGAGGCGAAAATGGTGAACATGACGTCGCTAAAACGTCAATTTCTCAAAAATTTCCCAACGGATCTCGCTCAAATTTTCAGGGTACGTGTCAAATTGATGTAAAAAAAGGTACTGAAAGTTTGGCGGCGCTGGGCGCCACCGTTTTTTAGTAATTGCAAAAATTCGCGAGGGTGGGTAAAATTTACCCCCCAGCCACGCGCGGGTTAACCCTCGCCCGCATATGCCATTTTCCCATCCTAGAACGCACATGGGGGGGGGGTTGCCACCCCCGCGCCATTTTGTTCCTGTTGGAGATAGAGCTTAGCGGTAAAGACCAAAAAGATTCTTTGGGAAGAGACGAATCCAATGATACCCAGTTTTACCTTCTCAGGTCAGTCATTGACCTTCCAGGTCAGGTCAAACTAAAAAATGTTGCTGCTTTTGGTCACCGTTGGATATCAAGTGCGATGCTTTTCATATACCGATGACGATGCCGTTTTCTGGTGCCAAGCCAGCTAGAACCTCTTAGTCACACTACCCAACCAGGTTTTTGCTGCTGAGGTCATTTCAGGTCAAGTTAGGTCAAGGTCAATTATATGTGTTTGTATGTCTGTGTGTGTCTGTGTGTATACTGATGTGTGCACCGATTGTTTATGTGTCCATATTACATGAAATCATGATCTGAGAAGCTTTTACCAAAAATGCAGTAAAAAAAAAAATCACGAAAAGTAAATTCCGCTTGCCTAAAACGCAATCATCTTAGATGACCTAGGTTGACCTTGACCCTGACCTTGACCTCTGTACATCTCCGAACAACATGTTCCAAGATAGGTGGGAGGTAAGACTGGCAAAAAAGGCCGAAATCAAGGTGTCAAAAGCTCACAAGGCCCATAGCCAAAGCAAAATGTTGAGAATTGGCCATTTGGGTCATGACATGACCTGAAAAACAAGGCCATATCTCCGAAACCAAAACCACAGAAACTTGAAATTTTTAGTGGACATCAAGAAAGGATAGAGGAGCAGCTATACGAAAAATCAGCCTTCTAGCTCTAAAAATGTTGAGTGCAGAGCAGAAAGACTAGGTACCTGTGGGGGGGGGGGGGGATGGCAACCACCCCCATGTGCGGGCGAGGGTTAATGGGTTTTGCTGTCCTAATCACAGGAAATATGGCCATATAGTCTCGTGCCTGTCAAAATAATAAGGCCCTAAATTATCCTAGGTAGCAGGTATTTAGTCACACTTTTAATGTATAAATTTTCACCCCATCCCCAGGAGATCTGGCTCCAGCCTCCACTCCAACTGTGGAAATTACTAACCCATCCACGGGGGCCTGACCCCACTCCAACTGTGCAAATAACAGTCCAAACAGTTGCTTCGGCTGCCATCCTGCACATCAGTGACCAGCTGATCACCTGGGCCCTGTTTCACCGCCCGACGCTGCGCGCGCGCTGCAGCGCGCTGGGAACTGAGGCACACCCCTGATGTCACTCGAATGACGTTGCGTGCGATCCGTTAGCTTATGATGAATCGCGTTTGGAACAGAGGTCCTTGGGAACCAAGCACAGAGAGAACAGAGGTTTGAGTGCGAATGCTGCTAGCGTGCTGATGGTGCTGGCGCCGGGGTGCTAGCGTTTTACGTTGACGTCATAGCGTAGCGTCAGAGTGGAGTTTGTTGATATTGCCATGTAAACCCAACGCACCGACGCGCGCAGCGCTCTGCCGTGAACACCGCCCTGGTGACTATCACTACGGTCAGTGGGGGGGGGGGGAGGTCGATAGCAACACGGCTCTGAACAGGGAGCCCTGAACATCGCCGGCCCGGGAAGAGTGCTACTGTCCGATAGATAGCGTTAGCTATACCACTCTCAACTCTGAACTATCGTCGCCGGGCCACTGCCGACAGACGGCTAAACCACTCTGTCTGAACTGAGAGCTAGCTCCGTCGCCGGGCCGGGAAGGGTGCCGCGGCCGTGTGATGCTGCGACCGCGGCCGTATGGTGCTGCGATTGCCGGCGCGGTGGCCGCTGATAGCGTCCCGCTGATATCAGCGGCGATAGCACCCTCGCAGCCCTCTCTGATAGACGCTCTGAATCCGTTCGTCAGCGGAGTATCTTATCAGCGGCGCCGTCCCGGCCACAGTCTCCCCTCAGTAGCGCCGTCCCGGCCACAGTCTCCCCTCAGCGGCGGTGTGCGCGGGCTCCTTGTCGCGTGCCGAAGGGGGCAGCGCTGGAAATCCTGACAGTTTAGAGTGGCGGGTTTCTGCGTGTGATAGAGCTGCTGACATTGAACTCGGTGACCGGCCGGCTGGCAGTCCAGGCGCCGTGAGGCTGCCGACTTGTGAAACAGCCCGTACCGATTTTCTCCTGTTTTGAATGTTAGGGCTGAGAAACTGAAGGTGGTCTTTTCGAGTCAGCGGGGGCTGCTCGTGCACCAGAAGAATCACCAGCACCAATTAGGCACACCACAGTGAGGGCGATCAGTGTTAACTAGGAGCAGTTGGTGCGACAGGTCACCAGTCCGGAGGCCCGTCGAAACCAGCGGCAGCGCAGCAGTGCAGCGAATCTGAACACCAGATCACCACCAGGGCGTCTCCGGAGCTCTGAATTCACCGACCCGTGACGTCACTGGGGACGGCTCGCCGGGAGGGAGATGACGTCACTGGGGACGGCTCGTCTTCTGCTGGCGCTGTTGGCGCTGGTCGGCGGCCGATCAGACACAGGTACATATCCACCAACCCATGCAGCCGCGGACTCGGCGGGGTGACGGTGACGCTTTTTACGACGGCTGAAACGGTACCGCTCAATAACTACCACTCAACTTTGCATCAACAACCCACGCCCCGCTGACGGTCCTGGGCCCAATCTTACCAATCTGGGGTATTTTCCATAACGCGAGTGACTGGGGGGGGGGGGGGCTCTGTAGAGCCTCCCACTCCGAAACTGCCCCCCCCCCCCCAGTCCGGAGAAAGGAGGGGGAGCCCCCACCCTCCTTTCTCCGAAACTGCTGGGCTGATCGTTAAAATTCAAACGGTGTCTGATAGCCCTAGAAAAACTGCCACAGGAAACCTATTTTCATTGACCTCGAAGTCACCACTGACGTCACAGGTCAGGTCAAAGTAAAAATTATCAGCATGATTGCTCGCTCACAATTTAGGCTCTAACCGCCGGCTGACAAGTCCCATCAGGCTCATTTTTGGTTTACGCTTTCCTTGATTTATGCCTTAGATACTATGATGGTACATAACTTTTATTTCGATTTTTTTTCAGGTCAAGGCCAGGTCATCCTAGGTCACGAAAATTGTATATTATTTATCTGTCACGTGACTCATGTTTTGTGGCCAATTTTACTAATAGATTTCGGGGGAAACATGTCGTCTGTGCCATTTGAGGTCATTTTCAGCTGAGTTTACCGGAGGTCAGGTCACTTTCAGGTCAGAAAAGGTCAAATTTTGAAAATGAAATTTTCAAGAAAAAGATGCCTGTCAGATGCCGTTTGAGCTGAGGAACACGATGGTGTCACTTATATTGCTGTGCGATTTCAAAAACGCACCGAAGAAATAATTTTGAAGAATATTTAATTAAAAGTTTTGACGACCTCTGACCTGGAGGGCAAGGGATGAAGCAGTGTGCATACCAGGCCAGCGCCAAACAGTGCAACACCAAGAGGTGCAAGTGCCGTAAGGCTGGAATGATGTGTACGAGTCGGTGCCACGCGGCGCTCCCATGTGTCAACAAATAATAAAACAGTTCTGGAACCTTTTGTTTGAAAATGCGGTCTCTATAGGAGAGTTTCCAGACGATATTTTGTTTTTTACTGCCTATGGACCAACACAGCAGACCCCACACTTCAGAGAAACCCGATAACTGCAGTGTAATATTTGTGTACTAGCCAACAATAAAGTAGGTACGCTGCAGACCAGACGATCCGTGAAATATCTCGTAGTGTTAGCCCATTTTATACATATATATATATATATATATATATATATATATATATATATATATATATATATATATATATATATATATATATATATATATATATATATATATATATATATATATTATATATCTCATATATCCATGAGAATCCATGAGAAACGTTATCCATGAGAAACGTTGGGTGGTTTTGGTGTTTTTATCTTACATCATACGAGTATACGAATTAATATGTGACTCTGACCTGACTCCCGACTGCCTGACTCTGACTCCCGACTGCCTGACTCTGACTCCCCGGCGTCTCTCAGCACATGTGGTGTGTCTCTGAGTCACCGCTCGTGTTTTCCAGCGGCGATATGTGACTCTGACCTGACTCGCCGTCTGTGTGACTCTGACTCCCGACTGCCTGACTCTGACTCCCCGGCGTCTCTCAGCACATGTGGTGTGTCTCTGAGTCACCGCTCGTGTTTTCCATCGGCGATATGTGACTCTGACCTGACTCCCCGTCTGTGTGACTCTGACTCCCGACTGCCTGACTCTGACTCCCCGGCGTCTCTCAGCACATGTGGTGTGTCTCTGAGTCGCCGCTCGTGTTTTCCAGCGGCGATATGTGACTCTGACTCTGACTCCCGACTGCCTGACTCTGACTCCCCGGCGTCTCTCAGCACATGTGGTGAGTCTCTGAGTCGCCGCTCGTGTTTTTCAGCGGCGTCGGCGTGCGTGGACGACTGGGATGGACGGTGGAACAACCTCTTCGAAAACACCAACGACTCGCATAACATCGGCTCAGCGTCGTCCGCCACCAGTCAGTACCAGTCAGTACCCGTCAGTACCCGTCAGTACCAGTCAGTCAGTACCAGTCAGTACCAGTCAGTACCCGTCAGTACCAGTCAGTCAGTACCAGTCAGTCAGTACCAGTCAGTACCAGTCAGTACCAGTCAGTACCAGTCAGTCAGTACCAGCCAGTCAGTACCAGTCAGTCAGTACCCGTCAGTACCAGTCAGTCAGTACCAGTCAGTCAGTACCAGTCAGTCAGTACCAGTCAGTCAGTACCAGTACCAGTCAGTACCAGTCAGTCAGTACCAGTCAGTACCAGTCAGTACCAGTCAGTACCAGTCAGTCAGTACCAGACTACCAGTCAGTCAGTACCTACCAGTCAGTCAGTACCAGTCAGTCAGAACCAGTCAGTCAGTATCAGTCAGTCAGTACCAGTACCAGTCAGTACCAGTCAGTCAGTACCAGTCAGTACCAGTCAGTACCAGTCAGTCAGTACCAGTCAGTCAGTACCAGTACCAGTCAGTACCAGTCAGTCAGTACCAGTCAGTACCAGTCAGTCAGTACCAGTCAGTACCAGTCAGTACCCGTCAGTACCAGTCAGTCAGTACCAGTCAGTACCAGTCAGTCAGTACCCGTCAGTACCAGTCAGTCAGTACCAGTCAGTCAGTACCAGTCAGTCAGTACCAGTCAGTCAGTACCAGTCAGTACCAGTCAGTCAGTACCAGTCAGTCAGTATCAGTCAGTCAGTACCAGTACCAGTCAGTACCAGTCAGTCAGTACCAGTCAGTACCAGTCAGTACCAGTCAGTACCAGTCAGTCAGTACCAGACTACCAGTCAGTCAGTACCTACCAGTCAGTCAGTACCAGTCAGTCAGAACCAGTCAGTCAGTATCAGTCAGTCAGTACCAGTACCAGTCAGTACCAGTCAGTCAGTACCAGTCAGTACCAGTCAGTACCAGTCAGTCAGTACCAGTCAGTCAGTACCAGTACCAGTCAGTACCAGTCAGTCAGTACCAGTCAGTACCAGTCAGTCAGTACCAGTCAGTCAGTACCAGTCAGTCAGTACCAGTCAGTCAGTACCAGTCAGTCAGTACCAGTCAGTCAGTACCAGTCAGTCAGTCAGTACCGGTCAGTACCAGTCAGTCAGTCAGTCAGTACCAGTCAGTACCAGTCAGTACCAGTCAGTCAGTACCAGTCAGTACCAGTCAGTCAGTACCAGTCAGTCAGTCAGTACCAGTCAGTCAGTACCAGTCAGTCAGTCAGTACCAGTCAGTCAGTACCAGTCAGTCAGTATACCAGTCAGTCAGTATACCAGTCAGTACTGAGGTTTTTTGCAAATAGTGAGAAAACCGCGGCGCGTAGCGCCGCAAAATTGTGTACCTACCACTATTCTCTCATCAATTTTTCACATGGTGTGCAAGTTTGAACCTCCTAACTTTTAAGGTCAGGTCACCAGGTTACTTTGAATAACCCAACCTCAAGTCCCTTTTTTGCAACTTTGTCACCGTGCCAGAGCTACAGTACTTAGATGTCGGAGGCCTATGAAAGTCGCAGGATGTTATTGGGTCATTAGTAGGTACAACTTTTTTGTCTCGGAATTTTGATATCGGTGACCTAAGGTCAGGTCAATTTCTCGACCACCCCATTATAAGTCAATGGGGGAAAAATCAACTCCCTGTTTTTACCACTAAAACGGGTCGGAATGGCCCCATATACCATACATGACTTCATATACGATCAACCTTCACTACCTTGAGGTCTGTTTTGCTGTTGGGCAGCTGTAAGGTCATGTGGCGTCATCAAAGGTCACCAGCGGTTTTTTGCCAATAACTCCGTACAGGAACAAGTTACAGCCGCGCGGATGGTCTCATTGTATTCAGCTCGTCAAGACGCATCGAATGATATACATGATGACCTCGAGGTCACGTGACCTGAGGTCAACCTTTGACCTTGAGCTTTCGAGGTCAAACTGAGGTCATGTTCGAGTAAAAATGAGCAAAAAACATGACATCTTGAAACGCTCACCAATTCTACAGATAACAAGCAATTTTAACCCTAGAACGCCTGGGGGGGGGGTTGTATCAACCCCCCCCTGAGGTTTTTTCGAAGTGCACGCTAAACGGCTTGTCGTAGCGGGCTGATATTTCCAATACCCTCTGGGGCAGCCTTTGCGCATCTTTTGCCGAAAAAAATTGATCGGGTCATGTCAGGTCACGGAGTTATGACGTCATAAGAGGTACAGCCTCCGGCCGACAGTTACCAAACGTGTGCGCCGAATCCCTAGGTTTTCTGCCGATGATACCCACATTGTTTGATGGATCATGATGAAACTTCCCATGCATGTTGGGGCAAGCATTGGCTATCGTGTGGTGCAAGAAAATTGACCGGGTCAGGTCAGGTCACGGAGTTATGACGTCACGTCATAAGAGGAACAGCGTCCGGTACTATTTTTGAAAAGCGCCCGAACCACTATTTTGCTAATTCTTGTTACCTCAATGGGAATATGCAGCAATATTAGCTTCTATAAGGAGCAAATGGACCTTCCAAAACCAAAAATACAATCTGAGGCCTGTTTCACTAAAAACTTGTATTTACAAGTGTTTGTAGTTTACAATTCATAAGTATTTTTACCAACTACGTAAAAACCGATTTCACTAAGCTTCATCGCCAGTGGCACCTCCGATAAGAAAATGTTTGCAAATAAACTTGTAAACAGTAAAAATGTTTTTAATCAAGAACTATAGCATGCTAAAGATATTGCTTCTTTTTATCAAATTTTGTCTAGTATTCATGTCAAAAGCTGTCTAATTAAATTATAAATAATGATGCTGTTGGAAAAAGATATAAATGATAGTTCACATTGTCCTATTATTGAAAGAAAATAACACGCAAAACATTTGACAGCAGAAGACTGTTGAATGCAATTATGGCGCGCGAATGACAAAACATGACGATATTTTAATACCGATTATTTTGCTTCTTAGGGTGTGTGCTAAGTAAAAATTGAGCATGAAACGACTCAACAAAGCATAGTTGTTCTAAATATATGACTGTTTTGCATTATTGCACAAAAAGTATCAAAATTCCGAACGTCAGGACCACTGGAATTTCAGGTTTGTAATTTCGATGTTTTCTTTCAAGTTTCTGGTCTTCGTGAAACAGAAAGTTTGCGATTCCCATGTTTTCTAGCAAACTTTTTCTTGTAAAAAAGTTTGCAAATTTTAATCTCAAAATTCATGTTCAAAGGTTTCGTGAAATCCAAATCTCAAATGTTGGTAATTATTTCTTGTAAACTCCAGCTTTTTCTTTGTAAATACAAGTTTTATTTGTTAGTGAAACAGGCCTCAGATTTCAAAAATTTAAATTCTGATTTTTCGAATTTCTGCCGCCGACTGTGACCTTGCCGACTTCCGGCGCTCCCAGCGCGCCATTTTTAGAGCTAGGGAAACGAAATACATACCAAACGATAGAGAATTGATCAAGGAAAACGATAGTGAAGGTTTCAAGTCGATATCTCCCACCGTTTTGCCGCAATCGCCGCGGAAAGTTGAAAAAGTCTATTTTTCCGAAAATTTGACCTTTGACCGGTCAAAAGTAGGTCAAATGTTGACCTAGGACCAAAAAATATACCACCAATCGCGAGATCTCATTGAGAGCAATCCGTTGGTTTTTTCCGCTAAGCTCTACGACCTTCCGTTTCGAAACGCCAGGGGGGGTCGTAACAACCCCCCCCCCCCCTGGTCGTTCGTGTTATGAGAAATGGCCTGGTCGTGCGAGGGTTAAAGTTCTTTATTTGGTTGTATAGAGAAAAGACGGCGCTACAAAACTGCTATCTCGGATTTTCGAAATTTTGGGATTTTGACCCCCAAAAATAAAAAAAATCATTTTTTATAAAAACTCAAAACATTTCCAAAATTTTCGAATTTGGAAAAAAATCGGAATATATGTGATAATCCCTGCGCTCTTCGATATACATACCAAATTTTAGATCGATACCTCGTTTTTTGGCCAAGTTATAGCGAAAAAACTGTTAAAAAATGATGACGTCAAATGTTTGAACTCAATTTTAAGCAATTCTAGACATTGTAGCGCAAAACGGAGACCACCATTGAACTCCTCGTAACGAGTTGCATCGAATCAATACCCATTTTATGGAAAAATATCAACTTTGAAATTTGACCTAATTTGACCTGACCTTGACCTGACCTTGACCAAAACGTGACCTAAGCTGGCCCTAAAGTCTGTCTGACCCACATAATCGCATTTGTCATGTAAAATGGACCAAGGTCAAATTTAGTCCATTTAAACAATTTTGGGAACTGCCAACGGATAAATCGGGAACCAATAGAGCTACACCTGAGCTACACTGGTGATCTGACCTTGAACGACCCGGGTCTGAAATTTTCTCAAATTGTGTGGAAAAGATGTATAAACATGTGTACCAAAAACGATGGCGCTTGGCGACGCCGTTTTTTGAGATATTCGCGAAAACCCTAAGGAGAAGGGCGTAAAAACGCACCCCCCCCAGCACGGCGCAGTTTAATGGGAGAAAATTGAAATGCTCTCCTTCTGAACGAAAACACCCTCAGACATCGGGATACAGGTACATATGACACATTTCATCGGGAAGAAAATTTCACTCGTGATGTGACCACTTTATGTTACTGAGGTCATCTCAGGTCATGAAAGGTCTCCAGTAGGTTTTGGACGGTAACTTTTGATAGAGATAATGTTAGAGCAATGAAACGCCTTATATAATTATTTTCCTTCTCGACAATACGGATCGACTAATATGTAATATGACCTTTCCCGGCTAGGTGATGACCTTCACCTTCGGTCAAATTCTCAAAATGCCCTTTAATGTCAAATTCAAGTTCATTTGACTAGTCTCGAAAAATGAAACACGATGCCGGTTAAAGGTACTGTGCCACCTTTGAATGATTTCCCATTTTATTTTTCCTAGGATAAGAAGCTTCTGTTTTTACCTAATATCGCCAAAAAAAATCGAAAATGGGCCTAAAATAGTGC